TATATATTTGGTTTTTTGAGACAGGGTTTCTCTGTGGTTTTGAAGCCCGTCCTGGAACTAAGCGGATTATATTTTAATGAGATGTTGTGGAGATGGGGAGGGCGCATCTCAGGAGAGGCTGGAGCTTGATATGATCAAGATACATTGCTCATATGTATGAAATTGTCAAGAAATCGAAAACTTGTGTTTGAAAATACTAGAATAGCAACAACAGATCTCTTCCCCTCCCTCCATCTACTTGCTCTGGTCCATTCCCTAGAGGATAATAACAGTTTATGTGTGTGTAACTTAGAGCAATCATGAAACAAAACTGTGGAGACTACTGAGGACAAAACCCACCACAGGATGCATTTGCACCAATCCTGTGTCGAAGCCTGAAAGAATCTAAGTCTGTAGATGACAGGGATACCGGCACATCCGGGTCACCTGGAGAACGTTCACAATAGACCAGATGTGGAATTAGGACAGTGCGCATCAACAGAGGACTTGATAAAGAAACTCTGACGTCTGTTCACAGCGAGGGTTTACTTAACCATGATGAAAATGAAGTGATGCTCTCTTTCCCAGAATAGGGGCTACAGCTTGAGATTATTTTGTTTAGTAAAATCAGCCAGACCTGGAATGAGAAATATGGATCATCTTCCTCTTTCTCTCTCTCTCTCTCTCTCTCTCTCTCTCTCTCTCTCTCTCTCGTTTCAAGACAAGGTTTCTCTGTAGTTTTGGAGCCTGTCCTGGAACTAGCTCTTGTAGACCAGGCTGGTCTCGAACTCACTGAGATCTGTCTGCCTCTGCCTCCCGAGTGCTGGGATTAAAGGCATGCACCACCACCACCCAGCAGGATCATCTTCTTTTATATGCAAAATTCGGATTTATTTGGAAGTAGAACAAGACCAAAGGGAAGAAGGAACAGAGAATAAGAGGGGGGGAAAGGTTGTGGGAAAGGATAGCAAAGGAGCAAAGGGAGAATGCAGTGAGAAAGGGATTATAAATAAGAAAGGTTTGCTATAGAATGCTCTTCTCTGAGATTCCCATGGAAGCATGTTTCTTCCTACAGGGAGGGCACCTTGCCTGGGGGAGTTTTCATCTGTTTCTAGGAGGAGAAAGAATTAGATTGTGTCTCTTGCATCTGCAGTTTTTCAGTTGCTTTTAGTTCAAATAATTATGTCAAACAGCATAAATTGGGGTAGCATATGCAGCCACTGTCTAGTAACCTTTGGGCAAGCAGGGATCTGCTTACGGACCTCCTGGATTCTGTACCTGTCAACTGCCACTCTTCACGGAGGACACAATTGTCACGGGTGCCAGCTTCTCACAGTGACCTGTGGGGCGGGGAATGTGTCTCTCTTGTATTGTTTTGTGGTCGAGTGCCCTGGAGTGTTGGAATCCTCCCATGTCCTGGATTTTAAGACTTAATGGAGTAAAGTGCTAATCCACCAGCCTCTTCCTCTCCCACAGGCCTCATCTCAGGCTACAAAAAACCCGCATTGCCATCCCCCCCATTGCTCAAAGGCACCAAGGACCTGCTATGCCTAGGCTGTGACCTGGAAGATGCTTTGTCTGCAGAGTGGGAAGGGGCTGTGGAACATCAGCCCTGAGGGGCAGCAGGTGGAGTGTGCCCACGATGACAACTCAGCCAAGATGCTTCTGGGCATGGAGACAAAAAGAGTGAAAAACAGCTGTGGTCCGTCTGTTGGATCAGGGTAGAACAAGAATGGGTTCTCTTTTATGGTTCTCTGTTTCTAGTCTTCTGTAGTGCGGCACTACAGAATTTTTGATGACAATTATGTTTTTAAATTTCTTAGTGAAGATAATGCATTTCTCTGAGCATCCCCTTCTATGTAAGTCACTTGGGTAAATATTAGGTTTTAGAGAAAAGGTTGTGGCACTTAAGAGGAATCAATTTGGCTGACATGAAATACTATAAGTGTATTCCTTCTTCTCAGCATAAACCAGACCACTACTGTCAACACGGAGCTGCACTGCAGTAAGAGGCTGCTTGTTTCTTCCTGGCTGTTCAGCTCCGAAATAACCACATAGAAACTGTATTAATTAAATCACTGCTTGGCCCATTAGCTCCAGTTTCTTATTGGATACCTCTTACATCTTAATTATCTGTGTATCGCCACGTGGCTGTGGCTTACCGGGTAAAATTCCACCGTCTGTCTCCAGCAGGACTACATGGCTTCTCTCTCACTCTGCCTCCTTTCTCCCAGCATTCAGTTTAGTTTCTCCACCTAGCTCTCTTCTTTCCTGCTCTGCTATAGACTCAAAACAGTTCTTTATTAATCAATGGTAATCACAGCATACAGAGGGGAATCCCAACATCACTGCATGTCACTGATTGTGCTGTCCAGGAAGGCAGAGAGGCATGGAGGCTGACACTGACTTTGGGGTCGGGCAGCCTTGGCTTTGGATCCTGGAGTTGAAATTTATTAGTTCCATGATTTTCTGTGGGAATTTTAAAATTTAAATCAAAACTTTCTCATCTCTAAACTAGATCTAATTGGGCCCAAATCAATGGACGGTTTCTCACGAAGAAGATTGTTTCCTGTGAGCACATTGCTGAGGTTTGTATTTGTTTATCTGTGTATTTATTGAAAAGCTGTGGTAAAGAAGGTGGGAGGCTGGTGAAGCAATGGTGAGCTTGGGTGGAGACGGCAGCAGCTGCTGGGAACTGTGCAGACTTGGGGCTGCTGGTGCTGCTCTGGCCTCATTGGAGGTTTTTCTTTTGCAAACCTGACACACCGCAAGGTACTTTTCTCATCACAAACTCTAGGGCTGTGTGATGTCTAATAATGTGACTGGTGGAAGGCAGGATGGTTCAGGGAGAAGAGTCAATGGGGAAAAGGTGGGGAGAGAAACAGCGAACAACCGAGGCCCAGACTGCTGAAAGAAATGCTTACTGCCTGAAATGGAGCTCAGGTGGGAGATGCTGGAGCTTTCTTTACACAGGAGTAGAGGTGGTTGGTGTAATATCCAGGGTGAGAGGAATTTCTGTCCCAGGTAGTTGGCAGGAGCAGTGGAGACTTCAGCTCCGCTGTTAATCACTAACTGAGTAGAGTCAGAACTAATGATCTTGTTTCAAATTCCAAAGAGAAAGTCTTCCAACTTCCCAAGCTAAATGTATCCTAATTGTTAATCTCCCTTTCTGACCCTGGCCTGCTAGACATTAAGATCTTGACCCATTGCTCAGTGGTAAACTTCTTCACACAGCTGTCTTCCACGTGCCAGGATTCAGGCTCTTCAGCGAACACAGCACAGCAGAATCTCTCCACTCTGAGCGCACACACATATGAGCGCACGGCTCCCTGTCTGAGGACTGGGATGAATTTGCATGTGTACTGTAACTTCTCCTGCTTCTTACAGAAGTGAATGACAGGCAGCTTCCGGATGCACTTCTCTATTTCAGACTTTAGATACACAAGGTGGCTCTTCTCCGCTTCAAAACCAACTATTTGCTTTTCTTTTTCATCTAAACCAATGAACAAATATCCCCCGTCAGTGTTGGCAAATGCAGACAGAGTTTTAGGGAGAATACCTTTAACTCGTTGTACCAACTTTTTTGTTTTGAATGATTTACATTCAACATTTTTGGATTCGCTAAAGGAGAATTTTTCTTCTGTGAGTTCTGCCTGGTTGAATAAAGCCGCAGCCAGCTCTTGCACATCCAGTTCTTCTTGCACGTGGAGCTCTTCTTGCCCCTGGAGTTCTTCTTGTCCGGGGATGCAGAGTTCTTCTCGCACATCTTCCCAAGGCCTTTTGTCAGACAACATTGTTTTTATTGGAGATCTTAATCCAGGGTTCTCCAGGTCTTTGAAAAATTGCAGAGCAGTATGCAAGTCCATTGGATGACAGGAGGCCCCGTTTCTCACGTACAAGTTGGTGGCAATGGTGGCAGGCTTCAAACCAGAGTTATCCAGACTGCATGATTTCACAGAGATGACAAAGCAGTGTCCTTCCTGTTTGAAGTCTAGGTGGTTCTGAGCAAGTGGCATAATAGCCTTGAAAGAGGTCTCCAAATCTTCTCCTATTCTGTGTTTGTCGTAATCACAGTTTTGATTTTCAATTTGAACCCTGACCTTGCCTCCTTGGGAATTCAGCAGAGCACACACAGCAGCTAAAATGCTTGTATTCTGTTTTCCAAGACCATCCTGCGTTTCCTCCTTATGTTTTTGCATTTCCTTCCCACTTTTCATTCCAAGAGTGACTTCTACATTTAGAACCAGCTCAGCGGAGGTGCTTTCAGGATCGATGGTGATGTTCTGTTCCACCCCAGCCATTCTGTTCCCAGACGGAAATTCTTTCCTGGAAGACAGGCAGAACCATTAGAATAAGGCTGAAGAGGTAGAGCAAATTCTATACTGAGAAGCTAACAGCAAAATTGTTCACTGGGTGAGTTCCATGGCACTGCGCAGTGAGCAGGTAAGGGAACAGGCCATTTGGAGATAGATATGAGGCCATGATAGCACACATATGTAGTGACTCTCAGGTCCTTCATTATGATCCATCTGTATTTTAGCTTCATCTTATCAGTAATTTATTTCCTTCTTAATATTTAATATGATACAACTTGAATTCTGTGTCTTTCAATAAACTCCAAGGACAATTTGCCTATGTTTTTTTTTCCTTAAAGAAGTAAAGGTTTGCTATAAAACCACTGATACTTTTTCTTGAATAATTTCAGATGTTCATTCATCAGGTGTCTACTTCATGGAGGGTCCCTTAGCAAAATTGTCCCTTGGGACCTAAGGGACACAGAACAATAGAGAAGGGAATTTATTTTCTTTCTTTCTAGGAATAAATTTCACCCACAAACTTTGGCCATTGATCTTAGGGAGGACGACCTGAGTTGTGGTCCTCTCTTCCTGTTAGACCGCCACATATTTTCAGGGAGGTATGGTTCTTACAGTTCAAACAGAATCACTAGGCTTCTTTCCTTTCGAAGCTGATGCTGTAATTACTACTCCTGTGGTCATGAAGCCTCTGGGGGGTTACCAGGTCAACAAGGTGGAACCATCTAAATGGTCCCAGTGTTCTGATAAAAGGAACTCCAGATAGCTAAGCTCACGCTGTATGTCATGTCACAGTGAGACGCTGGCGGTCTTCAAACAAAAGAGGACCGTCCCTCGATCCTGACCACGACGGCATCTTCATTTTGACCTTTTGCCACCTACACTGTAAGGAAAAATGTCTATATTCATATTCCACCAAACTGTGCCACTCTGTCAGATCGGTGTCAGAATGACACAGGCTGGGTCTCTGTGCCTCTCACCCGCCAGGGTTTTCCTCTTAAGAGCCAGCATGGTCCATTGTTCTGCAAATGGAGAATAAAATGATATGACACCTGTTAACTACTTTTGTTGTTGCTGTTGCCTTAAGATCTTATTTTTTTTTTATTTTGTGCTTATGGGTATTTTGCATACATGTGTGTCTATTACTGTGTGTGGTGTTCATAGAGGTCAGAAGACAGCATTGAATCCTCTGGGACTGGATGCTTGTCTATAGGTGGGTGCTGGGAACAGATCCCTGGTCCTCTGCAAGAGCAGCGAGTGCTCTTAACCACTGAGCCATCTTTCTAGCCTGAGCTCTCCCAGTTTTGAAACTGACTTCTTTTTGATCTGGCATACATGTTGTTGCCGTCAACCTCTGACTTATAATTCAGTGGGTCTCTGGTTTTTAATGTTTCTGTGGGAGAAAGAGTACTCAGGATGGTTTCCCTTGTTTTTTTTCCTGCCCAGTGTGGGCTTTAACTCCTAAGCAATCCTCCTGCCTCGGTCTCCTGAATAACTGTGACCATGGAAACGTCCTATTACTTTGTTACCTTAGCACAAAAGTTAATTTACTGGCAATTGTTTTTAAGTTTGCATCTATGAGGTTCTTTCTGCTATTGTTATGGGTGGATGATCATGTCAAGTGTAACAGCATCATCAAATGAGTCCCAAGGATGTGGGGATCCTCAGTGAAAGGACACTTGCCTGATATATACTGTGCCCAACCTATACATAAAATTAAATTATATTAAATGGTTTCAATATTTTACAGACATGAACTCATCGTGGTTTGCTATCCTATATGAAAGTGAAGGAGAGAATTTGGATTCTTGCTTTTCCATGGGGTCATATATTATTCACAATCAAGTTTGCATAATTATCACAAACTGTTCTTTTTTTTCTTTTCTTTTCTTTTTTTTTGATTTTTCGAGACAGGGTTTCTCCATAGCTTTTTGGTTCCTGTCCTGGAACTAGCTCTTGTAGACCAGGCTGGCCTCGAACTCACAGAGATCTGCCTGCCTCTGCCTCCCAAGTACTGAAATTAAAGGCGTGCACCACCACCGCCCGGCTCACGAACTGTTCTTCAAAAGACTCTAACCCGCTGCCCAATCCCACATGCAACATTAATGTGAGAATACGGAGTCCCCTGTTACTCCAACTATACTAGCGTCATGGCTCAGTGTGACTGAGGTTTGGGTATGCTAATCACATCTGATTTTCTTTAAGCCCAAGAGTTCTCTCATGGAGTCCCTAGTCCTATACACAGCATAGTTCAGGCATCTATCAAGATCTGCTGGAATGGGTGGGAGGCCAGAACAAGTAGACAAAACAGAGACAGATCCAGAAAGTATGAAGTGGAACTCCGAAGGAGCAAAACCATGTGATGAAGGAGTTGGAATTTCTGGAAATGAAGATTTAGTCTAAACCATGAGGCCATACTGGGCCTTCTGTCTCAGGTCTGTAAACTAGCAAAGAATCATCTGAGTACATACAGCGATGTGCATGGAGAGAGAAGCTTTGGAAATCAGAACTACTGGGTCAAGTGATGAACACCCGAGAATTTGGAAATGAACTAGAAAATGATGCCCTAGAGGATGGATTCAGTCTTTGCTCTACCGGGTTTATCTTGGGCAAGCCTATAGAGCTGCATCTAGTGCCTCTAGGAGATCACACTGTGATTGCAGACCTAGAACCAACTGCACCATGCACAGCATTCCTTAGGGTTGCCTAGGAACGCGAAGATGTCTTCCTGATAGATCTTCATTCAGAGAAGCCCTCAGAGGAGAAAGCTTTTGACTTGAACTCAAGACATTCTAGAGGAAGAGATGCTGAGGCAGAAGTCCTGACTCCTGGCAGAGGAACACCAATGGGACACAGCCATCTGTGCTTAAGATCAGAGCTCCACAATAGTCTCAGTGTGACAGCGCTGTGCCCAGACAGCAGAGAGATGTCTGCTTCTGCCATGCTGATCTTTCTTCTCCTTATCACAACAAGTTAATGTTGGTAGATCCTATTTCCTCCATGGGATGCTGCCCCAAACTTGGGACCAGTTTCCCTGAGGGCTTTCCAGATGATATCTCACCCCAAAGCAAGGGGAAGCAGGGAGTAGGGGCGGGGGGTTGGGGTTGCATGCCTGTCAGCTCAGCACTTGCAAAACTGAGTCTGAAGACAACCTGGGCTATATTTTAGCAAGATTCTGTCTGCCACAGTCTGCTTGCAAGGTAGGCATTGGGGTAGATAGGAGACAGGGAGACCAGAGAAAAACAAAACCGAAAGTCTTGTAAGATTATGGGAAATGCAGTTTCATTTCTGCCCAGTTAGAAGCTGCAGCCCCACCCTGTACTATTCATTGTTGAGCAGTATCTGTTCTTCATTTCCTCCCAGCACCTCCCATTCAGCACCTTGTTTTAAGCCAGCATCCCTAGTCCAGTCCCCAACATTAAAAGGGGCAGGAACTATATCTCACCCAAAAGTGAAACTCAAGGAAGCTGGTGTGGAATCATTTTATAGGAAATCTGGGGGCTAACGTGGGCTAACCCAGGCTCTCTAATTTCATGCCCGTAACTATGAAAAATTTTATGACTTAAATTCCTGCGGGCATCTACCTGGAAAGCAGTCCTCAACTTGTAAGCTGGACTCTGGAGTCCGTGAATTCTGGTCCCTGAATGAAACTCACTGATCTCCCACAACCTTTGAGTTGGTTTAAACACTAGTTTTTTCTTGTAAAATTCTTTAGAGTGTTCACTGGAGAAAATTCTCTCAGAGCTTAACTCACAACTTTGGCTGTTGTTACCTTTAGCAGGAAATGATGGCATTCAGACAGATGCCCCTAGTTCTGCAGGCAGTGCCGTTCGGCAGGAGGGAATAAAATGGGGTGGGGACACAAGAGTGGGAGACGATGCCTCTTGGGAAACAAATAACCCTGGCGCATTCCCTGTTAGGATGATGCTTTGCCTCTTGGAAGATCATGTTCTCATTCTAGATAAAAAAAAAAAAATTCTCAGGACTCTCGGGTTCTTAGATCTCTTCAGTTCTGGGATGCAGTTCCTCCCTGTCTAATGGCAAATTTCCCCTAACATTCTACAGAGTCTGGTCTCTGAGAAGATGGAGCCCCCCCCCCCTCCCCGAGGGACCTGGAGTCCTGCACAAGCCTGACCTGTGCATAACCTCTTCTCCCTGCCTCACTTCCCCTGCTTGACCCTCTCAGAACCCAGGTTTCCTCTCTCAGGGATCTGTAAGTACTCCAATCCGAGCAGCCCGAGGGACTTTGCTCTCATCCCATTCTCCCTAAACTTCCAAGCCCTCAGCAGCTGTGAAGGAGTCTATGAAGATGCACAGGAGCCAAAGTTTCCAGAAAGGAGTCAAAGCAACCAGGCTCCTCTCCAGGGCTGGGTGTTGCGCTGGAAGTGCCCCTCCTCATCCCAGAGCCAGCAGAGTGAATTCTGGGTGGGCATGGGGAAAGAGAGGGATAAAAATGTTGAAATGGTAAATGCTGCCTGCTGCCACGGAGTGTAGCTCACTTACCTGTAAAACTGCTCCAATGAATCTCTCTCCGGCTCGATGCCTACTGTGAGTTGGCTGTGCTGTGGACACCTGCTGGACGAAACAGGAAAGTTCAAGCCTGGGACAGACTCCCACAGCAGGGGCTTGGTGGCTGTCACGAGATTTCCTCCGCAAGTGGATTTGAGAGTGCCAAATTTCAGTGCTTGTGGTCGCACTAAACTTTTCCTCTTTGTGGACCTTTGCGGTGTGAGCGGATTCCTCCACTCTCAATACGGAGTTCAGTTTTGGAGAACCTGTGATTCATCCGTTGGCGTCAAACCAGGAAATGTGAGAACTCTCTCTAAGCTCTTTGATCCCTGTCTGTGATTGTCACTCAGCCTGTCAAAATTGAAGAACTGGGCTCCTAGACTTGGTAACTCAGCCTTCACTACTTCACCAGAATCCTCAGAGTAAAGATGCTGTCTCTGCTCTCAGAGCAGGTGACACTAGGGACAGGCAGGAACACCTGTAGGAGGCTTGCAGGGAAGGAGCATGGGGAGGGAGACTGAGCCAGGGGAGGAAGTGAGTGTGGGATGCTGGCTCATAAGGTGCAAGCTGCATCTCCTAGGTCTTTGGGAAGATGGGGGATCTGTAGGAGTCTCCAAGTACTACCCTAGGCAGACAAGACTGATCTACCACTTTTTCTTTGTGCCCTGACTTATGATAATTATGGTAATACAAGTCTCTGACTCGCAACATTTAAGAACCACCAACCAGGTGTGGGGAGAAAGGAGAGACTTTAGAGTTGGGAGGAGAGGTAAGAAAGAAAATAGAGGGAGTGTGGAGGAGGCAAGAGCTTAGGCAAAGGTGAGAGGAAAGGAGAGGCCAGGGGGCAGGAGAGAGGGTCTTCAGACACCCCAGCTGTGGGTGCCTTTCCACCAGGAACCTCAGGCAGGTAAAAGCATGTGGGTGACTCGAGCACCCTTGCCCAGGACACCCCAGTTGAAGGTGAAGGGAGCAGAATCGAGACTTCTGCATCCTGCCCTGTGCTCCTCCCTCACCTTGACACCTGTAGGCAGAGAAACTGTTCATTTCATAGACTGCGGCTGGATCACTTGCTACACACCTGTAGTGACCGCAGCAATGTTGCCTGCATCCTGTCGTCTTCTGGACTTTCCATCACTGGGATGATCCTGCGATGCTGGAACCTCAAGGAAATGGTGCCCAAGGCCTTGAATCTAAGCTTGATCTACCAACGCAAACTTGTGTCCAGGTGACCATGTGAACCTGATGGACAGTTTTCCAATACTTGACATTTCAGAATTAATTATTTTCCTGAATCACTAAAATGTCAGTTTGCATCTCACATGTTGCCAAATAATTATTAATATATGTTATATATCTGTAAGATATGTATACTCATATGTACATTATGAAATGTCATTCAGATTAAATAAAAATGAAATTATGTTATTTGCAGAAAGGAAAACAGAAAATATTAGAAAAAAATCTTTTTGGTGAATAAAATATTTCAGACCCAGAGCTGCAAATATTGCTTCTTTTCTCATCTACATGGAACTTCACTTTATGCTGAGTGAGAACCGTGTCTCAAGGTGGGAGGAAGGGAACAAGAGAAGATGAAGAGGCCAAAGAATGACAAAGGTTACATGCTTTTTATTATCGCAGAACCCAGTTCTGTGTATACACACATATATGGACACCCCAGGGGACTGTGGGATTGGCAAGGTGACCATCAGGAGGGAAGAGGAGGAAGCGGGGAGGGTAACAGGATATGGATGTGGGTGAATTACAAGGGCAGGTGTGTGTGAAGATATAACGAGGCACATTGTTATATTTGTTGGCTAAAAATAATTTAAACACAAACAGATCCTCCAGATCTGTCTGTTCAACAGCAGGAGGCATGTCTCGGAGCTCAGAAGGATCACCTCATTACCTTGGAAAACATCTGCCAGAGCAGACAAAAGCCCCATCCTGAAAACCTTTAGATAACAACTGGAAAGCATTGGGTGATTGTCACACCCCACATGTGTCAGGCAGGATGTGGGCTCCAGGGCCACATTAGGCTTGTTGGGAGCCTGCAGCACCAATGTGGTCATTGGGCTTCTCTGCAGGAGCAACCGGCTCCAAAGTCAGCATCCAATCATGCGTGAATTATGGTCTGATGTGCTACCTCATGAGATCCAAGAGACCTGAGAACACAGGGCCAGACAGGAGAATCCTGGGAGACCCCGAGGGACATTACCAGAGGGACTATTCCTTAATAACGCACCCTTTACTAGAGGGCGATACAGGTCTGAAGGTTAGGAGAAAATCCGCGTGACCCCACAGAATTTTACCAGAATGCGATCTTAGACGTTATGTAGAACTGGGCCGGCATGGAGGAGATGATCCACATGGATGTTAAGCACGGGCTGAAGCATCCAGGAGACATGGAGTCAAGTCAGTCCTGTGCCTCCAGATGGAACAGCAGCAGAAAGTGTCTCTGGAAGGGCTGAGGAACTGCAATGCCCAGAATGTGCCAGGCTAATAATTCATCAACATTCTTCGGCCTTCCCATCATCCTCTTGTCCCTGTGGCCTTGGTAGCCAATGGCAATGAACCACTCATGCAGACCCATGACAGGATGCTCAGAACCCTGCTCTTTGTGGCTATCCCTGCCATTCTCTGGAAGCCCTGGGTGGCTCGCTTCAGCCCCACGATCTGGTTCTCGTTGTCGATATGGTACTGACACAGCAAGCCTTTGTGTGCTTGCATTGGGGTTAGCAACACACGTACTTTCAGATTTTCTACTCCAAGGCAGCTGAGAGGGTTTATATCTAGGATTATCATCTTTCCTTCAAATGATATAAGGGAGTTTTTTTCTTTTTTGCTTTTATCTAGAAAGGTGTTTTTACCAAAAAAATTTCAGACAACTTTTGTAGCATGATTTTCCATGGTGTGGAAACCTTAAACAGACCCTAACACAACCCAACAATTTGCAACATGCTGACGGGAATTCTAGAGTCTGTTTTGAAGGAAAGCCACACATATACACATACACATTCTTTCACACACAAATACAAACATTTAATTTAAGAATCTTAATAATTTCTGTTTTTTTTTTTTTTTTTTTTTTTTTTTTTTTTTTACAGAGGTTACTAAACTTGGGGCTAGCACATGCTAACATGCTTTTTGCATCTGGTATATACCTTGAACCTAGATTGACATAGCAAAGTGTCTGTCAGTATTTAGTTAGAAGAATACTCCTAGTGTTGTATCGTGTGTTAGGGTTCTTGTGATGCAGGAGGGAGATACCACAGACTGAGTGGCTTAACAGAAATTCATTTCCCACAGTTCCTATGGTTTTGGAGTCCAAAACCAAGACTGAGGCAGAGCAGGGTTCACTGGGGGGGGGGGTGCTCTACTCAGGGCCAGTCATTCTGTGTTTCCATGGCCACAGGGACATAAGGAAAAGGAAGAAAGCACCCTGCCATGTCACCTCCTAAGGACATGGTCCATGTGCTATTTCACCCTGAGGACTTTGTTTAGCCTTGCTCACCTCCTTAATGGAACCACGTCCACTTTAGGGTGGGTGAAGATGACACACTCAGTTTTTATAACACTGGCCCTGAGACTATAACCAAAGGAAGGGAATTACAGCTCAAGAGGAACTTAACTTGAAATTGATTATGCTGATGACTAATCTCCAGTGTCAACCTGAGCACACTTAGACGTTTCTAGGAAACTCTTCTCTGCTCTGTTGGTGGGAAACTCTCTACAGAGGTTTAGCTAGGAGGGAAAGATGTACCTGACATGGTGTCTGTATCCCATGGCCTGGTGTCCTGGGCTGAATAAACCCGGGAAGACACCAGGAAACCAGCATTCACTCCCCTCTGCTGCCTCAGTTTGCACACAGTGGACCTGTATCCTCACACTTCATCCCTCATAGCTAGAGGCCCTCCAGCCACCCCTCCATCCCTACTGCCATGATGGACTCTGCCCTCAGGATGCTGGCATGGCTACCAGCAATGTAAACAGTGCTGTACTTCAGAGGAAAACAGAAGAACTAAGCTGTAAACACGTCATAGACGTCATAGACGCTGATCGGCTTTGGTGGGGCTGGAGTGATTCATGGGTTCCCGGGAATAAACCTAGGTCATCTAAGTTACACCCTCAGCAAACACTTCTATACAATGTTTAGTTATTTAAGATAAGGTGTTGGATGTACCTTAGCCTGACTTGGGCACCTTATATAGCCTTATAGCCTCTTATCAAACTCTTAATTCTACTGCCTTGTCCTCATAGTGCTATACCCACGTGCTGTCAAACCAGGCTGAACTAGATTTAAGAATATTCAGATTCATTGGTTTTATTCCATGTGTATCTAATGTTTTCATTGCAGGCATGTCTGTCCTGCTTGTGTGCATGGTGCCTGCAGAGTTCAGAGAGAACATCATATCCCAAGGAACTGAAATTACAGATAGTTTTGGAGCTCCATGTGAGGCTGGGACCTGACCTGGGCTTTTAATAAGAGCAACAAGCGCTCTTAACCACTGAACCATCTCTCTAGCCCCACTAGACTCACTGACTTCTAAAGATGTCCCTCCCCATTTCTGTTCCTCTTAGGGCTCGTATACCCTGTTAGTGTCAGATTGTTGTTCTCTGTGAAAGCCTGAGATAGTAATTTTATGAGTGCCCTGTTATTTCTTTCGTTAAAAATGACAATTAGATTGTATTATCACAAAGCTAAGCCTCTTGGCACACAACTGTAAGCTCAACACTTGTGAAGTTGAGAGAAAAGGATCCTAAGTTCTATCTTCTCCTCTGTGACTTACTGAGTTCAAGACCAGCTTGGACCACACAAGACGCAAAACAAAACAAAACAAAACCGTGTTTCATCTTTTATCATAATGTAGTCTGAGTCATTCTAAATCAAACTTTGAGGATAAGTTTTGTTTTTCCCACCTCTTTTTTGCTGTGCTCCCAAAGCCTTGGGGCAGGTTGCTCTGAGCCTGCTCAGTGTCTGCAGGGTTTGCCTGAGCACCGGCCTCTGCGCTGTCACAGGGTCACTTGTCCTCAGGACGTGAGCAGGTGTGAGTCTCTGCAGTGCCCACCGCCCACTGTAAGGGAAGACCACGTCCTTACGAGACTGACAGGAGCGCCATCCGTGAAGACCAATATTTACAAGGCCATGTGAGAGGCAACGCACATCTGTTTCATACCTGACATAGGTGCTTTGCCACTGGGCCCTGGGACTTCTGCAGCCATGGCCTTTGTCTTGGCTTTCAGTATCAGACATAAGTTCTCTCCATCATTTGGGGGGGGGGCAATATGACCTTAAATCCAATTGGAAAATGATTGAACCCTTTCTCCTCATGCCAGTATCACACGAGAGGACACATTGTCTTTTCTATAGGAACAGAAAGTGTAATAGGTGGCTTTGATTTTTATTTCTATATCTGGCTTTACATTTAATGTTGATTCAACTATTCTGAGTGATAGTGGCATTGAGCCCATGAGAGTTCTAAGAAGACCCACAGATACAATAGGGATAAAATATGCCTTCCTTAGGCCAGTGGTGGCGGTTCACACCTTTAATCCCTGCACTCAAGTGGCAGAGGCAGGCAGATCTCTGAGTCTGAGGCCAGCCTGGATTATAGAGTGAGTTCCAGGACAAACAGGACTACACAGAGAAACCCTGTCTCAACGAACAAACACGAAACCTGCTCCTGCCAGTCTGTCCCACACCCCTACCTCCACGACCTCACCCACCCTATGATACCACCTTCTTCGTCCCCATCAATAAGAGCACAGCCAGTGGCTACAGTAAGAATTTCTCACAGATTTTACACTAAGCAGGTGTCTTAGTTAGGGTTTCTATTGCTGCACTGACACCATGACCATAAAGCAGGAGTTGGAGGGAACGGTTTATTTGGCTTACACTCCCACAGTGTCATGGGCCTTGAAGGAAGCCTGGACGAGAACTCAAACAGAGCAGGAACCTGGAGGCAGGAGCCTATGCAGAGGTTGGGCTGTCCCACATCAATCACTAGTTTAGAAAATGTCCTATACAGCTCTCCTGGGCAGTAGAGTCTAAAAGCTAGCCCTGCCCCTTACTAGCTGTGGCACTCAGGTGAGCTGGCCCTACCACTCACAGGGGCAATGTGAAGAGCAGATCCAGGTGGCACAGGTGCAGAAGAGTGGGCAGATGGATCAACAAGGCCAAGACCCAGGGTTCTGAATTGGCTCACCCCAGCATCTAACCTATTCATGAACAGCTAGAACATGGGAAGGGGCTGGTCCTGTAGAAGCATAGCTGCAGGATCTCCATGACATCGACAACAACAGTGTATCTGAACGGGGTCCAAGGGAAGGTCCAGTACTGATAGGGCACCAAAACCAGAATCCTGGAACCAGACAAATAAGTCATTGCAAAAAAAATTTTTTTTTCAAGTAAAGATGTTTGAGAAAAAGGGTACACTGTGTGATACACAGTGACACACCACACCTTCCATGGTGAGCTTGTTGTTTTAAATCTTTATTTAGTTTTTGCTTTTCTTCTGCAAGTGAGGTTGAAACACCAGATGGTGGTTATGGAGGGAAAAAAGATGTGAGTGGAATTGGGGTGCAATTCACAAAGAATCAACAAAAAGTTAAACAAAAGATAAAAGAATGATCGGGCTGGAGAGATGGCTCAGTGGTTAAGAGCATTGCCTGCTCTTCCAAAGGTCCTGAGTTCAAATCCCAGCAACCACATGGTGGCTCACAACCATCTGTAATGGGGTCTGGTGCCCTCTTCTGGCCTGTAGCCATACACACAGACAAAATATTGTATATATAATGAATAAATAAATATTTTTTTAAAAAAAGATAAAAAATGAAACAAAAGAAGAAAGGAAGGAAAGAAAAAAAGAAGGAAGGGAGTTAGAAAAAGAGGAAGAGAGGGAGGGAAGGAGGGAGAGGAAGGGAGGGAAGAGAAAGAGGGAGGGAGGGAGGGAGGGAAGGAAGGAGAAAAAATGTCTGCACTGCAGGCTTGGCTGAAGCCTGATCTTATGAAGAAGGCATTTCCTTTGGTCTACTGAAGTCCATCCACAGCTAGCAGGGAATAGTTGGTTGGCAGCAGACCTCTGCTGAGAAATCCTCTCCAGTTACACAGCTTCAGGGATTTGCAGGCTTGGCCCTTTTGTAACCATGAAGTCCTTCAGCTGTGACAGGCCTAACAGATATCATTGTCACAGGCTCTAGGTGTTCCTTGAGAGCTTCAGCTAATACATGACCAGTGGGCATGCGTGAAGTCACCAGTGGTGCCAGAGGCTTACTTGCCATCCATCAGGCTCTTGATCCATTGCTCAGTGGTAAACCTCTTCACACAGCTGTCTTCCACGTGCCAGGACTCGGGCTCTGCAGCGAACACAGCACAGCAGAATCTCTCCACTCTGAGCGCACACACATATGAGCGCACGGCTCCCTGTCTGAGGACTGGGATGAATTTGCATGTGTACTGTATCTTCTCCTGCTCCTCACAGAAGTGAGTGACAGGCAGCTGTCGAATGCACTTCTCTATTTCACTCTCTAGATACATAAGATCGCTCTTCTCTGCTTCAAAACCAATTATTTGCTGGTTTTTTCCATCCAAACCAATGAACAAATATCCCCCATCAGTGTTTGCAAACGCAGATACAGTTTGAGGGATAAGCTCTTTGATGCATTTTCGCAACTGTTTAACAGAAAGCAATGTAACTTCAACATGAATGGATCTGGTGAAGGGGAAGTCTTCCTGGTGCTGAAATTGTGTCTTTATTTTTGTTGTTGTTTATTTTTTGTTTATTTTTTTTTAGTTCCCGCCACCTCCCCATTTCCCATTTCCCTTCCCCTCCTCCCACACATCGCCCTCTCCCCCCTGAAATTGTGTCTTGTTAAAAACCGCAGCAGCCAGGTCCTCTAGGTCGCTCTCTTCTTCTACTCCAGGGCAGGCTCTGCTTGCAGGCAGCTCTGGTCTGACACAGGATCTCCCCCCAACTTCCCCCAGGTCTTGGAGGAACTCGAGAGCAGCAGCTGCATTCACTTCAATTGAAGATGAGAAGCTTCTAAGGTACAAATTGGTTCTCAGGATGCAGATCCGCAGCCTGAAGACATCTAGACTCCATGGTTTCACAAAGATATTCAAGTAGCCTCCACGCGCCATGAAGTCCAGATGCTTCCTCACAAACGGCAGACATTTACAAAGAGAGGCTTCCAAATCCAGTCCCAATCCATCCCTGGGAAGGCTAAAATTTTCATTTTCAATTTTAGCCTTGATCACCCCACCTCCAGAGTTCAGGAGGGCACACACAGCTTGAGAGATGTTTTCATTCTCCCGTTTTCTGAGGGGTTGGTTCTTCAACTTCTTTCTATTCTTCTCCCCAAGTGTGATTGCTTCCACCTTTAGAACCAGCTTAGCATAGTCTGTTTCCAGATTCACGGTGATGGCCATGTCCCCAGCAGCGTTTGCATTTTCAACCTGAATTTCCTTCCTGTAAAACAGACAGCGCCTTTAGAATGAGACCTAACAGGAGAAAGCAAATTCTGTACTGTGAAGTCAACAGCACAATCCCTGGCTACGTATTTTCCAAGATCTGGTCACTTACAGGAGGAGAAATGGTTATTTTTTTTTTTTTTTGCAGCTTTTGCATTCATTGGCCAAGCTTATTTGCCTACTAAGTTTTCAGATGTGATGTTCCAAGTAGAGTTAAGTCCTTTGAATTTTCAATTCTAGTTTAATTTTCACTATCTCTTTTCCAGTCATTAATACTGTCTTCAGTCTCCTCTAAAGCAAACCCTCAGTGGAATCTGTGTGATTTTTGTCTTTCATGTAGCAAAGGCTTTAGTAACACAATTTTTTTAGACTTCTTTATTTCATGCCTATTGTTTAGCCTGAAATTATGTCTGGGAACCATGTGCATGCAGTAGCTCTGAGGCCAGAAGAGGGCACCAGATCCCTTGGAACTGGAGTCTCAGGTGGTTGTAAGGCCCATGTGGGTATTGAATTCTGGGGTTCTGGAAGAGCAGCCAGCGCTCCTCAGCACCGAGCCCTCTCCATCCCAGCTTTCAAATTGATGATTAGTATCCATTCTGTCCATTTTGCAATGGGGCTATTTCATTATCTTTGACGAAGTTTATTATCTCCTTGGATATCAACCCCTTATCAGACTGTGTGTTGCAAACCTTTTCTCCCTCTGTGAATTGTCTGTGTTTTATCATTGCTTCTTTTGTTTTGCAAGAATATCCCACTTTGATGAAATCTCAGGTCAACATTGGGATTTTTTTTTATTGTGCTTTAGGAAACATCTGCATTAATTTTTCTCTCTGTTCCTGTGACAATTATCCGGACAAAAAGCAACTTTGGGATAGAAAATGGTTTATTTGCAAATAATTCAACATCACCACCCACCACTGAGGGATGGCAGAGCAGGAACTTGAAGGAGGCCTGCTTGCTGTTCTACACAACATTACCTTTGACCAAAGAACCCACTTCACAGTCTAGGAAATATACCAGGAACCGTGGGGATGGAGCTGAGCGGCTAGCTTTCTTATGCTGTTGTAGTCTCCCTGCCTAAGGAATGGAGCTGCCCAAAGTGGTCTGGGCCCTCCTACATCAATTCTCAACACAATCTTACACACGTGCCCACAGCCAATCAGATACTGGCGATCCCTCAATTGATGAACTCTTCCCACATAATTCTAGGTTCTGTCCAGTTGACAGTAGAACCAATCAAGGCAACATCCAAATGACCTTTGCCAAAACCAATGTGTTATTCTTCCGGTCCCTGCCCTAGCCACGCCCACTCCCATAACCTCTGACCTGCCCATCGCTATCTTGGGACCCCTCCTCTTTCTGCTTCCTTGGCGTGCGCACGCGTTTTCTCTGTCTCTCTCTTCTTTTATCTCTCCTCTCTCCGTCTTTCTTTCTCCCTCTTCCTTAATAAACACAGGCTATTTCCTGTGTTTACGTGTCTGTTCCCTGCCGCCACCGTGGGCCAAGGAAGCGTGCCCTCCTGTAGCCGCTTTCTCGCCCTCCCGAGGATCTTTTGTAGCCCCTTTCTCATGGCGGGCTCCGCCAACCCACCGCGGGAATCGTTTTTTAAGAATAACACAATGTCATAGAACTTTTCTTCTGTGTCTTCTTCTAGTAGTTTTCCTATTTTTTACCTTTCTTTTCTGATCTTACATTGGTATGTTTAATTCATTTTGTATTCGGCTTGTGTAACGTGGTGTGAGAAAAGTTCTAATCTCATTCGCTACAACAACTTGACATCACCTCATCTACACTCTAGGGTCTTGCCTCTCTCAGAAGGCGATTCTGCCCATTAACTTCCCGCTTTTGCATTAGCCATAATTTCCTGTTTTTATAAACCTTGTGAGCTTTGACTGAAAATGGGTCAGTTAGGAAAGCTGCTAGCGCTGCTAATCTTCCAGGGCACCTCCATACGTGTCTACTGATTAGCTGGGCAGGTCCTCATCCTCTGCCTCAGTATGAAGTCACATTAAGGTCTCCATGGCTGGGCAGGTGACTCTGTAGATAAAGTGCTTGTTTTACAAGCTTGAGGACCTGAGTTTGGATTGCCAGCACCCACATGGAAAGCTGAGAGAGACTGCATGTGCCTAGCATCCCAATGTTGGCAGACAAAGAGGGGAACCCTGGGTCTAATTAACCAGGTAGCTCCTTCTCAAATTATAGCACTGACTCTGGAGGAAATTCTCTCAGAAGGGAACTTGGGGTTCAGGGTGTCTAGTCAGCTACCTTTGGAAGAAAAGAGAATGATATTCGGTCGGATACCTTACTCTGTCACGATTGCAGGTTGGTAATAAAATCAAAGAAAGAGGGGACAGGTGTGACTGAGCTGCCCAGATGTGAGCCCATTTTCCCTAATGCCCTGCAAATGATCTTCATCTCCACCCAAAAGGCTGCAAGGAGCCTAGCATGGTGCTGACCCTGTGAGGTTGATGTGGGCACTCTGAGCTTGAGACATGGAGAAAATGAACAGTGAATCGCAGGCCAGCCTGGGCTACACACCCAGACCCTGTGTGCCTCCTTCCCCTCTAAAATACTAAAGCAAAACAACAACCATCATAAACAGGAACTAAAGCAGCCTGTACTGCTGAGAAGGGAACAATTTCATTTCTGAGAAAGGAACAGTTTCGTTTCTGAAAAGGGAGAAGTTTCGTTTCTGCCCACTTGGTAGTTGGCGACTCAGCCCTGTTCTTTGCACTGCTGAGCAGTCAGTTCCTCATTCCTTCCCAGCCTCCCCTGTCCAGAGTCTCCTTGTCAGGCCCAGTCCTAAACCAGCACCCATGGTTCACTCTCCATTTGGAAAGGAGACAGAGTCTCATCTCACACCCAAATCCCAAAGCACAATACTCATGTCCCCAGGAATTTGGAACCTCAAGGGGGATACAATACAGTCATATTTAAAGGTGCTGTGGGCTAGCCTGGGACACGGACCATCTCACTCCTAAACCTGTGACTATGGTAAATTTTCAATGGTTCAAAATTCACTTTTTTTTGGCGTGTATCTGGGACTCAATCCTTCAGAAAGAAACAGGACAGGTGAACCACAAATCCAGGCATGTAAATTCATTAACCTCCCAGGAGCTTTAGCTGTGGTTTACAAATCAGATTCTCCAACCCTAATTCCACTCCCAAATTGTGTTGTGCACTGGAGAAAATTCCCTGAGACTTTGACATGGGATTTAAGGTGTCTTGCTAGCTGTCTCCAGCGGGGAAGAACATGGCATTCCGATGTCAGCACTGCAGACTGGCAGGAAAACCCCCTGGGACAGGAGCAGGAGCTGCCTCTGGAGAACAGTGAGACCTGGAGCCCTCTTTGGGCTCCTCTAAGGTGCTCTGCTTTGGTTTAGGAGAGCAGAGTCAGCTTCTAAGGGCTCTAGTGTACTTCTTTCTTAATCTAGACTGCAGTTCCTGCCTGCCTGCTGGACATAGTTATCCAACTTCCCACAGGGTCAGATCTCCAAGAGAACAGGGAAGGCTGCAGAGGCTCTGGAGACCAGCAGGAGCCTGATCCACCCACACCCTCTGCTGCCTGCCTCACTAGTTCCGGCTCAGGCAGGGCAGAGCCTGAGCTTAAACCCCCACTCCACCCTAAGCACACAAAGGCATTTGACTCACCCACAGCTCACCCAAGTCCTCCACAGCCTGTACTTTGTCAAAATGAGCTATGAAGACTCCAAAAGCAATGGTCCGAGTAGGAACAGAAACAAACAAGGGTCCCCTGATAGAAAATAAATTATTGACGACCCCCATATGATCCCAGAGCCACTAGACTGTACCAGGACTGGAAGGGAGAAACAGAAAGGGAAGCCCCTTTAGGGTTTGGGCTTGAGCGGGCTCTAACGAAGTGATCACTTACCCATGAGTTCTGCGGTTGCCTAGCTGAGTTGTTTGAAGTCTGGGGCTCATATCTTCTCCCTGTCAGCCCCCTGGTATGATGAGGCAGTCTACAGTCACCGGAGAAAGACCCTCCCCACTGCAAGGTCTTCCAGGGTGGGCTATGTCACTTGTCCAGTCCTAACTACAGCTCTGGTTTTGTCCTCACCTCCAAGCCTAACCTAGTCCTTTGTTCTTTGCTCCCCCTGATCATTGCGGAGCTTGCTGCTACCTCAGTGCTGGTGCCATATTGGAAATTTGAGAACTGCTGTAGTTAACCATACCACCCTCTCTGTACCAAACTCTCACTGTTTACTGATGATATGATAGTTCACATAAGCGACTCCAAAAATTTTACCAAGGAACTTCTACAACTCATAAATGTAATGAGCAGTAATGCAGCAGGATACAAGATTAACTCATAAAAATCAGTAGCCCTCCTGTACACAGATGATAAAAAGCTGAGAAAGAAATCAGAGAATCAACATCCTTCACAATAGCCACAAATAGCATAAAATATCTCAGAGTGACTCTAACCAAACAAGTGGAAGTCTTGTATGACAAGAACTTTAAATCTTTGAAGAAAGAAATTGAAGAAGACTCCAGAAAGTGGAAAGATCTCCCATACTCTTGGGTAGGAAGAATTAACATAGTAAAAATGGCAATTTTACCAAAAAACAATCTACAGATTCAACACACTGCCCATCAAATCCCAGCAAAATTCTTCATAGACCTCGAAAGAATGGTACTCTGTCAGGAGCCATTTTCCCAAAAAGTATAGTGGGAACCATTGTCCTGGGTATGTTTGCAGAGAGCCCCATACACCAACTGTATTGAGAACTGTTTGTTGCCAGAGCCCACTCCACACCCAACTATCTTGAGAGCTATCTGTTAGCAGAACCTGCCCCACATTCCAACTACCGAGAGAACTGTTTGTGGTTGGAATCACAAAAGGAACGATTCTGCTTGCATAGAGAACTAGGTGTGTTGACTCGTGACCTCCTGACCAGGACTGGTGACCTCGTGAGCAACAACTCGTGACCTCGTGACCAAGGACTTGTGACCAAGTGTCAACCAAGTGTCGACTCATGACCATTGTGGCAAGATCCCTTCCTGTTCTTGCCATGCCCCTGCCCCCATTCCAAGCCAAATTCTTCATCCAAGGGCTATATAAGCTGCTGCCATTACGCTAATAAACAGAGGCTTTGACAACAGATCTTGCTTGGCCTAGTTCCTCTTTCCATCCCACGTCTTTTCAGATAGCGCCTCTTCGAGAGCCTGGAATAACTGACCTGCCAGGCGGGTTACAACCCGAGACTAACTGACCCGCTGGGCGGTTACAGTACTCAACTTCATGTGGAAAAGCAAAAAACCCAGGATAGCCAAAACAATTCTGTACAATAAAAGAACTTCTGGAGGCATCACAATCCCTGACTTCAAACTCTACTACAGAGCTACAGTACTGAAAACAGCCTGGTATTGGCATAAAAACAGACAGGAGAAACAATGGAATCGAATCAAAGACCTGGATCCACACACCTTCAAACACCTGATTTTTGACAAAGAAGAAAAAAAATAATCAAATGGAAAAAAGAAAGCATATTTAAAAAATGGTGCTGGCATAACTGGATATCAACATGTAGAAGAATGAAAATAGATCCTTATCTATCACCATGCACAAAACTCAAAGATTTCAACATAAAGCCAGCCACACTGAATCTCATAGAAGAGAAAGTGGGAAGTAAACTTGAAAACATTGGCACAGGAGACCACTTCCTAAATATTACCCCAGTAGCACAGACACTGAGAGAAACAATTAATAAATGGGACCTCCTGAAACTGAAAAGCTTCTGTAAAGCAAAGGACATGGTCAACAAGACAAAATGACAGCCTACAGAATGGGAAAAGATCGTCACTAACCCCACATCAGACAGAGGTCTGATCTCCAAAATATACAAAGAACTCAAGAAATTGGCCATCAGAAGCACAAATAATCCAATAAAAAAAAAATAAAGTACAGACCTAAATAGAGAACTCTCAACAGAGGAATCTAAAATGGCTACAAGCCACTGAAGGAAATGCTCAACATCCTTAGTTAGCAGAGATATGCAAATCAAAACAACTCTGAGATTCCATCTTACACCTGTAAGAATGGCCAAGATCAAAAACAGTGATGACAACTTATGCTGGAGAGGTTGTAAAGAAAGGAAACACTTTTTCATTGCTGGTGGGAATGCAAGCTGGTACAATCCCTTTGAATGTCAGTGTGGTGATTTCTCAGAAAATTAGGAAACAACCTTCCTCAAGACCCAGTAATACCACTTTGGGGTATATATCCAAAGGATGCTCAATCATGCCACAAGGACATGTGCTCAACTATGTTCATAGCAGCATTGTTTGTCATAGCAGAACCTGGAAACAACCTAAATATCCCTCAACCGAAGAATGTCAGGAGCCATTTTCCCAAAGATTATAGCAAGGCAGGAGCCATTTTCCCAAAGATTATAGCAGGGACTATTGTCCTAAGGATGTTTGTGGGGAGCCCCACACCCAACTATCTTGAGAACTATTTGTTAGCAGAACCCGCCCCACATTCCAACTATCTAGAGAATTGTTTGTGGTTGGAATCACAAAAGGAATGATTCCGCTTGCATAGAGAACACTAGGTGTGTCAACTTGTGACCTTTGCTGCCCAGGCAAGGTCCCTTCTTGCCCTTGCCATACCCCTGCCCCCAACCCAAGCCAAATTCCTCATTCAAGGGCTATATAAGCCACAACCATTTCACTAATAAAGAGAGACCTTGACAAATTGAGAACAGAATCTTGTCTGGCTTTGCTTGGTCTCCGTTTCTCCCTCCCGCCCATGTCTTTTTCAGATAGCACCTCTTAGGAATAACTGACCCGCTGGGCGGGTTACAGAAGAATGGATAAGAAAAATGTGGTACATTTACACAACGGAGTACTACACAGCAGATAAAAATGACATAATGAATTTTGCAGGCAAATGGATGGAGCTAGAAAACATCACTTTGAGTGGGTTCAAGATGTTTGGGGCTTATTTTAAAAACATTGATGTAGGATGTGCTTCTGTATATGTGTTGTCTTTATTGCTTGATGAGTAAAGCTGTTTTGGCCAATGGCTTAGCACAAAAAAGCTAGACAGAAAGTCCAAACAACGATGCAGAGAGAAAGGGGAGGCAAATGATGCCATGTCTCTATCAAAGGAGAAAAAGGTCCGAATATTACCGGCAAGCCATGAGCCTCATGTTCATATAAACTACCCGAAATGGGCTAATTTATAGTTAGGGCTAGCCGGTAAGAGGCCTAAGCCATCGGCCAAACAATTATATTTACTATATTAGCCTCTGAGTGATTATTTAATAAGCAGCTGGGGGAACTATCGAGTGGGAGAGAAACTAATCCAGGATACCAGCAGGACAGAGAATACTCCCTTCTACAACACACTTTCCCCTTTGACACTTTTAATTGCACTCTGCAAAGCGCACCCTTACAATTTAATGTGGTATGTTTGAGTGTGTGTGTGCACAACGAGGAGGTGCACATGTGTGTGCACATGCTTGTGCACATGTGCCTGCGCTTGTAGAGACCAGAGGACAATATCAGGTGTCATTGTCCTAGAATCACCAATTAGACTAAGCTGGCCATTGAGGGGTCTTCCTGTCTCCACTTCCCCAACACTGGAATTGTAATCATGGCATTTTATGTGGGGTTTAGGTATCAGATTCAGGTCCTCCTCTGTGCAAGGCAAGCAGTGGGTAGTCACAATTAACCAGGGGTGGCACGGCCCTTTTTAGACCTGAGCTGGTGGAGAACACAGATGTCTCCTCCCCCAGACTTCTTGATTTGGGTAGTCACAATCAACCAATAACACCCCTTTCACACCACACCAGCAATTATTTGAAAGGAATTAGCCATAGAGTACTGAGAAGCCAAGAAGATGGATACCGATGAACAGGAAGGAGTAGGGAGGGACTTGGAGTTTTGTGGTCTTTCTTAATTTGGGATGGCTGGAGAGATGCTCTCTTTCTTGCTGGGTCTTCAGCCAAAAAGGAAGTTCAGCAAGTCTCTTCTTGGCCTCTCTGAGTTAGCAGGTTTTCACCCCAACATCAGACTCCTGAGTCTTTACTGGTAGATAGAATGGTAGAGACTTGGTTAAAAACTACTTTTGGTGGCAGCAGCAGAGCCGGTGCTGGTGGATGGGAAGTCCCACCAGGCTATGGCCTTAGTGGCAGGGTGCTGACTGTGAGGCAGCGGGGTTGCAGGTGGTAGTGACAATGTCAGTAGATTCTGGTGCAGACGATAAGCCAACAGCGAAACAGCAGTTCGAGGCCCTAAGGCAGCTGTGTTGATGTCTGTGGAGCCTATTGCCACCATATAGAGACCTGTAGTCTGAGCTGCCACCTTGGGCCATGGTGTTATCTGAGGACCATGGTGACATGGGGGCCATGCCAATCTTCGTGGCCCACACTGCCACCTGGGGCCATAGAGACATCCTGGCCCCAGCTGCTGCAGATGTCCATGTCTGGGTCCTTTGTCCTACCACAACTAGCGTCTGTGTTGATGTCACTGGCCCATGATGCCACTAAAGGCCACACAGCTGTTCAGGGTCTAGGCCACACCATGCTGGTGTCTGTGTTGGGCTGTCACCTGGGCCAAGTCTTTTTGAGTGGTCAGTGCTGTCAGCTGACTCCATGTGATTTATTTGGGAGCTGGGTGTCAGGCTCCAAAAAGAGCCCCATGGAGTCCAAAGAATCAAAGAGTAAAACACAAACAAATAAACAAACAAACAACTGCATATGTGTGAACCCAGTTCATCTGCCCTGTCAGGAATTCTCATCATGGTCAACCCGTCTTTTAATGACCTCCATCAAAAGTTTCAGCAGGTACCACTTCACAAATGAATATGTACAACGAGGACATTGCTTCCTTTATGAAGAAACACCAACCTTCCAAATGAATATGTAATACTCCCATGTAATCTCAATGCTGTAACACTCTTACAGGTGTTAATTTATAGCACAAACAACACGACAACAGGAATGTAAAACATACAACACATCAACCAGTAAAGAACAATATCGACTTATAAACCATACTATCAAGACTTCAAAAGGGAACAATATTACAAAGATGTTACTGGAGCTCATGCTCTAGCCCCATAGAGAGTACATGCATGGCCTAATGCCTGACACCTGTTGACCTTTTGAAGCCTTACATCAACAGATACATTGCTTTTCTTTAATACACAATGAACAATTGTATTCCTTTTCTCGTGACTTTGACTTTTTTGGAGACCTCCATATTTACTATCTGCTGCTGTAAGCCGTCTCCATTTATTTTATGCATATCCTGAGCCTTGCCTCTGTGATTTGGGACATGTGGAAAGTCCTTCCTGGCTTGTCACATACAAATCACAGATTTAACAGCAATAGCACACACAGCTGAGCAGCAACACTGTGACCAAATGTTGCCTTACATTGTCTTCTTCATCATTTTCTTCACTAACTTCTCTAGGAAGAGTGTCTTCCATGATTAGAGGCACCATGCATTTCCTCAGCAAGATGGATGGCTATGCAGATTGGACACGTTTTTGTGTTTTGATTATTTTTGTATGTCTTCATTTATTTATTTTGAGTCATGGTCTCTTTTCATAGCCCTGGCTATCCTGGACTTCTCTATGAATATTAAAAGGATGGGCCATTCTCCAAGCTCTAAAATTAAAGTCACAGACCTCATCCCCAGTTGAGGGACGCATTCTTAAAGCGCTGTTTTATTGTTGTGTTCTTTATTAGCCAATCCCTTTCCTAGAATTTGGTTTCTACTTTGTGAAGTTATTAAAGGATACAATTTCCATATTTTTACAGAATCAGATGTAACCACCCAGCAGGTCAGTTAGTCTAGGGTTGTAACCCGCCTGGCAGGTCAGTAATTCCAGGGTCCTGAAGAGGCGCTATCTGAAAAGACATGGGCAGGAGAGAGGAACGAGGCCAAGCAAGATCTGTTGTCAAAGCCTCCATTTATTAGCATAATGGCAGCAGCTTATATAGCCCTTGGATGAGGAATTTGGCTTGGGATGAAGGCAGGGGGGAAGGGCATGGGATCTTGCTGGGGCAGCAATGGTCACGAGTTGACACTTGGTCATTAGTAGGTCACGAGTGGACACACCTAGTGTTCTCTATGCAAGCGGAATCATTCCTTTTGTGATTCCAACCACAAACAGTTCTCTAGATAGTTGGAATGTGGGGCAGGTTCTGCTAACAGATAGCTCCCAAGATAGTTGGGTGTGGGGTGGGCTCCACCAACAAACAGTTCTCAATACTGTTGGGGTGTGGGGCTCTCTGCAAACATCCCCAGGACAATGGTCCCTGAAATACTTTTTGGGGGAAATGGCTCCTGACAATCAGAGAATATTTTCACCTCATAACATGAGATATCATTGCACCATAGTCTACTTTCCATGTCAAGCAGTCTCAAACACGATTTAGGACAATCCTCAAAAAGTAAAATATCTAATTCTATGTGTTTAAAAATTCAGAGGTAACCTGATCACTACATTTTTACAACGGTACACTGTCCCTAAAACTTCAATAAGGGCTTTCTCTAAGACCCTTACTGTCTTGGTTGTCAGATAATACTCCCTGGGGTAATGTATTCTCGAGCTTGAATCATATAGAGACACCGCACTATGACCCAAGTACGTTATCTTTATCGCAACACCTATTTTCCCGGTGTAACCGCCAAGATTTACCAGCTTCTGCTTTAAAGTCAGTGCAGTTTGTTTACAGTCGTTCTTTAACTTAGTGCCCAGGTCCCTCAGAACAGAGCTGTCGCCTTCCAGCTCCCCCTCTCCCCGGACAAAGCTGTGCAGGGTCAGGAGACTGTCCTGGGAAATATGAAGCACATCCAAGATGACTTCCTGCTTCTTCTGTAAGCCCAGACTTAAAGCCAAGCTCTCAGAGATGATCAGCGTCCCTTGACGAAGTGAGGCCAGCTCTGTCTGAAGTAACTGCTCATATCGTTTATGTTCTGACCACGGCTCCATGCGGAGGTCTTCTGGAGAGCATGTCACCTCTCTAGACAGCACTAGAAAAATAAATAAACATACCAAATTAAAAATAAAAATGCCCAGGATGTCCTATGTGAGCCATTGCCAATCAGCTTGTGAGTCCCCTCTTCATATCACCAGGAGGTGAACACACAAGACACCAAAGAATAATTCAAGAGCAGAAGGGGCAGGTGCAAGGCAGACTTTAGACTCAGATTCTGACAAGAGAGAATCATGAAAACAGGTGAACACTCACATTCCTGCCTTTTCTATTACATGGTGCATCAGGAGCCTGCTCTGGGCAATTCCATTATTGAGAAGAGTCAGGGAAGCAAAGGACAGACTTAGTGCTGAAGACAGAAAAGTCAGGCATCACCAAAGAGGTGATGAGACAGGAGGAAAGTGAGGAGACACAGGGCGGCTCCACAGAGCAAAGGAGAGAGCAGAGCACATTCCCAGAGCTCCAGGGATGGGGAGAGGTCGCCTCAGAGGAGAACTCAAGGTAGCCAGGCTTCCCTGGTGAGCTTGGAAAATTATGAGAAGACATTAAAGGTAATTTTAAATTTCCCATATGCCATGCTGTTTATCAACTAGTACAACATGTATTAAAAGTCTCAGCTGAACTGTGTTTTCCTCAGAGAAAATGGGGTTAGATGGTGAGGTTAGATTTTTGAGGTCAAATTCAATTTGAAAAACTAAGTTTTGGTGATAGTGAAGTGCTCTACACTACAGAAAACATACAGCAAACAGTGCACTAAGAATAATTGAATGTATTAATAATAAAGCGGGTCTGTTTCACTTTGTGCTTTTTAAAATTGAGAGGAGGATTCATTTAGACCATGCTGGTCACAACCCACTATGTGGAGCTCGGGCCACAAGTCCACCATGAATAGATCATGATTCTATGTAACACTGGAGATAGAAACCAGGATTTCCTGGATGCTAGGCAACCACCCTATCACCTAGGAAATGTCCCCAAATGTGGCTTCTTTTAAGACTATTCAATCCAGAAGGAATGAAGAGTGGTAAAGCAGTGAGCTTCTGAAGAAGCTGAGGATGCTCGCATTTTCAGAGACTGGAATTTCTGGTGCGAGTTTCAAGTGAAGCCTTTCATTCCAAGTGAGATCAACGCCAGAATGTTTCTCTCCTTCAGAAAATGTTCTGAGTTTTATTCCACATGCAAACGTGAGACAAAGGAGGAACTTTTAAGAAAAGGGTGAATGGAATAAAAGAGTTAAACAAAGACTAAGGAGATTAGATGGCGGGGTTCTGATGTTCTGAAAAGGAGCACAGGTTACCACAGGTCGGAAAGCAATGGAGACACCACATGCTGGGCTAGCACACTGCAATTCCCAACCGAAGAGACATTCCTTTTTCATTGCTTGGTTTTCTAACACATTTGTCACTGTCAGTGAAGGATGAGGGACACAGAAAGTTGACCCTGAGAAATGGAATCAATGCAGTGGGAGCCTGGAGTGGGCTCCAGAAACCTTCGCAGTAGGAGGGATTTGGACAAAGAAGCTAGATATAGTCTGGAAGAGGCAGGGAGAACTCGATAGGCAACTCTGGGTGGACGCGCAGAAATTCAGGAAGTACACAGGACAGGGTCCATGAGAGGCTCTGCTGATCAGCTTTCTGATGGAAAAGGGACGTGACAGTGAGGCTAGCACTTGAGACCACTTTCAGGATTCCACTGTCAATTGTAGGGCTACAAATTGGCCCTGGCCTGTTTCTTGGCAGGAATCTCATCTTAACTCCCTGAGGGAGTTGACAAGACCCTTCAAGGGCATTATGAGGCTGGACCCCTTCCTTTTCCTGCTTCAGTCCTGACCACTGGAGAAGCAGGCCATGTCACACTTGGTCAATGTGAAGGAAATAGCTCATAGCCTTACTAAAAGCAACAAACATACTTTCCATAGGGAATCAAAGTGGGCAGAAGAAACAGGAAGTTGTGAGCTCTGGATAGTATCTAGTAGAGATCAGTAAATGAGGAGTTTGGTGTTGCCCAGGTCCCAGAAAGCAATCTTCCAACCCCCTGAGCCAATTAGAAAGTGATTGCTAATCCCCCTTCCCCAACCTGGTGTGGCTTCCATCTGGAGCTTGACCCATTCCTCTGAGGTAAATCTCTTCACACAGCTGTCTTCCACGCGCCAGGACTCGGGCTCTTCAGCGAACACAGCACAGCAGAATCTCTCCACTCTGAGAGCACACACATATGAGCACACGGCTCCTGGTCTGTGGACTGGGATGAATTTGCATGTGTACCTTATCTTCTCTTGTTTCTCACAGAAGTGACCGAGAGGCAGCTGTCGGATGCACTTCTCTATTTCACTCTCTAGATTCTCAAGATTGCTCTTCTCTGCTTCAATATCAACCATTTGCTGGTTTCCTCCATTTAAACCAATGAACAAATATCCCCCGTCAGTGTTTGCGAATGCAGACACAGTTTTAGGGAGAATCTCTAAAATCTTTTCTTTAGGCGTCATTTTAACTTCTGTATGTTTGGATCTAGTAAAACAGGATGTCTCCTCCAGGGTCAACTCCTCTCTGTTAAAAAATGTGTGTAGACTTCCCTGCTGAAACTCATCAGAGTCACATAATCCAGGCAAGCTCTGTCTTGAACGTGATCTCCCTTCAGAATCCTTCTTGTCTTTGAGGAACTTCACTGCATCAGGACCTTTCAGTTCATCTGAAGCTGACAAATTTCTCACATAGAAATTGGTTTTCAAGGTGAGGACACGCTGACCGGAGATATTTGGGATCCATGGTTTCACAAAAATTAAAAAGTACCCTTTGTTCTGCACGCAGTCTAGGTATTTCTGAGGACATGGAAGAATTTCACGAAAAGAATTTTCCAAATCTAGTCCTATTCCATCTCTTTTGAAGCTGTAAAGTGAATTCTTAACGTGAGCCTTGACCACGCCCCCTCCAGAATTCAGCAGAGCACACACAGCCTGTGAGATACTGTGGGCCTCTCTCTTTCTCAGTTGTGGATCTTTCATTGTCTTCCTAATCTCCTCTCCCAGTGTGATTTCTCCTACAAACAGAACCACTTCAGCATAGTCTGTCTCCTGGTCAACGCTGATGCTCATTTTCAGAGCACTTGCTCTCCTGTAAAACAGATGGAGCCATTAGAGCAGAAGCCAACCAGTGAGAGCCCGCTCTGCTTTACAGAACCACAGCACAGCCACCTGAGCTGCTCTGGGTGTGAAGGTCGGACCTGATGTTTTGTTTAGGGACTGTTGGACCATGTTGAACAGATTACAATAACTTGTATGCTTAGTAAAATTTCAAATTTGTTGTCATGATTGTATATAATTTTTAAAAAGTGTTTAAAACTAAGAAACTCCATTGTGCTGGGCAGAGGTGTTGTATTCCTTTATCCCCAGCATTTGGAAGGCAGAAGCAGGAGGATCTCTGAGTTCGAGGCCAGCTTGGTTTACAAAGTCAGTTTCAGGACACCAGGGATATTATGCAGAGAAGCCCTGTCTCAATAAACCAGAGAGAGACAGAGGAGAGGCAGAGGAGAGAGAGAGAGAGCATTTATTTCTGGTTTTGAGCCCCCACATGTGTACTGAGAATCTGTAAGAGATACAAGGGATTTTAGACACCAAGTTCCCTATGTAACAAGAAAATAAAACTGTCTCATTTCTGCTCATTTATCACTCCCAGATCTGTCTAGTGGCCTTTGATGACTTAAGGTACTGGTAGCTCATTACTTCATTTGTTAAGTTTTCTGCTAAAACTACAGACAGATGTGCCTCGTTCATAGGCTTCATAGTTCAGTATTAACAGGTTTCAGGTGTATCTTCAAAAATCCAAAGTTGTCAATTCTCTTAAATTGTTTTCTAAAATGTTTCTGCTCCAGTTGTCTTACAGATACCTGCAGGTTCCTGAAAAAAGTTCTGCTGCTGTATCAAAAAGCAGGTCTGGTAAACAACAACAACAACAACAACACACACACACACAAAACCCAAAAAACAAAAACTAATATTCTTCAGAGCCTATTTTAACCCCACCCATTTTCAAGCATATTTTACAGGTCACTCCTGCTGTCTGGACCAAGACCAATTTATAAAGGTCCCTCCAGTTAACACCAACACCTGCACCAGCTCCTGGGGCTTCACCAGTGCTACTAACTCTCCTGGCTCAAAAGGACATCTGTAAACTAAAATCTGGTTTTAAAAATAGCATATCTGCTCTGGTATCTCACTTATTCACCCGAGCCTCTCCTGTACAACCAGGGCACTTCTCTGTCCCACTCTTTCTGACAGTTAATGACGCTTCCCATGGCTAGCCCCCTTCATAGGGCCAACAATAACAATATATTTTTTTTTTCTCCTAGCCACCTGCCTTCTCATCTCCCTCAAGGAACAGCTGCCTGAGGTCTCCAGGATGACAGTAAACCGGATGCTGCTCCAGCCACACCTCTTGCTGAGCATGAGCCCACCAACTCCCAGCTCCCCTCTCCCACATCACCCCATGCCCACAGGAAGTAGCCAGACTTGAGCCGGTGCCCCTTTATCCAAAAAGAGTGAAATGTTTGGTCGAAAATGTCACCTCAGCTCCCTGGCACCCCTTTATCCAAAGAGTCTGGAATGTTTGATTGGGGTCTTCACCCCAGCCCCTGGCATCCATTTTAAAATGTTTGGTGGAAAGTTCAATGTCAAAGCCCCCTTTCCTTAGAATTGCCTCAGTCCAAACTCACTTCCGAGAAAGCCAGCCAAACAGTAACCCCTCCCCAGGGAAGGTCAAGACCACTCCCACAGGCTATTTAAACTGCTCCCCCCCCAGAAAATGCACACGTGGTCCCCCCTTTCCCTCTCCGTGGTCCTTCTGGTTCCCTCCCCATGTTTTCCCTGGGACCACCCGGGAGTGCTGGAGTCCATTAAACCTGGGCATCTTCTAATTCGATCTGATTTGGTCTGATTGGGATTATTGTATTGGCAGAGAGGCTTGTCGGTCAGAAAAATACTTAACAGTTTTACGCCTGTATGTGTGCTTGTTTTAAAATCTGTAAAACTTGTTATTATTCTTAAAAAATGATTCCCGGGCGGGTTGGCGGAGCCCGCCATGAGAAAGCGGCTACAAATGATCCCCGGGCTGGCAGAGCCCGCCATGAGAAAGTGGCTACAGGAGCCATAAGTATTTATTAAGGAAGAGGGAGAAAGAAAGACAGAGAAAAGAGATAAAAGAAGAGAAAAGAGATTAAAAAAAAGAGAGAGAGAGAGAGAGACAGAGAAAAGGCATGCGCACGCCAAGGAAGCAGAAAGAGGAAGAGTCCCAAGAAGGCGACGGGCAGGTCAGAGGTTATGGGAGTGGGCGTGGCTAGGGCAGGGACCGAAAGAATAACACTTGTAACGCCAGATTACAACTCCTCTGGATAAGTATAAATACATGGATAGCTGCCATTTTGGTATCTCAGCGCCATCTTTACTAAGGGATCCACATGCACTGGCCCCACCAAGGAGACATTCCTCGTCAATATACTTTGACTAACAATATACTCCTGTCCTGTTCTAAAGAAACAAGATTTATAACAATGCTGATTTACTGAGATATTAAAGCTGAGATCTGGGGAATATGCCATTTAAATGGTTAATTAATAAAAGACTTTTCATAAAGAAGAGACCATTCACTCCTACAGCAGCAACAACCCATCTCTTCCAAATAAGACAGAAGACAAATGGGCACACAACGCCCAACCACAATTTTCTTCAACAAGTGAAAGCGCTAACCACTGGGTTAAACTGCCTTTCCTCTAAACTCCTGAAGATCTCCAGACAGTGGATAAAAAAAAAGTGGCATCAACTGCCTAGCTGCTCAGGCCAAGGTAGGCTTGTCTTCCTACAGACTTCCTAACCCACAGGATCTTCTAAAACCTGGTAGCCCCTGCGCTAAACAGCAGAAGAAAAATACAGTCCTGATGCTCCTGCCCTCAACGACCATGGAGGACCCTGAGGAGTGGCTCTAGGTAGCCAATCGAGTAAGTTCTCTGTCATTTTTTTTTAAATCAGTAACTCAAGTAAAATTTTATCCTTCCTTGAGATCTCTGATGCAGTTTGACAGCTGAGAGGTTTTGTCAGTTTTAAGGAACAATCTCACCAAACAAATTTCAATACAACTTCTTAATGTGTCCTAAATAAGAGGTGTTTTAAGATATACTAATGGAAATTATTAAGCTGTGTACCTGAAAATTATGAAGGTCTGAGGACAAATGCAGGTTATCATCAGATTTCTCTCTCATGCGGCCTTTCATAGTACCACTACTGCAAAATCAAGATTTTAAATTCTCTTTGGTTATTTTCTAAAGATATTTTTCATTATGCAAAAACATCATCCACAGTCATTTTGACATAAATATGCTGCTGTTTATACAATGAAAGTGTCTAAAACTTATCTTTTCACAAACTCAAGGAATTCTTGTGAGTTCCAGGGAGCTGAATCAAAGAATCCACCTTAAACAGGTCAGATACATACCTCTCAATTCCCCGGTCCTGAAAAAGGTTTTTTCTTCCTAGACTTAACCTTGTCCTCCACCCTGCCAACACCTTGCCAGGTCCAAGAGACACTGAGCAGGAGTAATCAGCTACCCCAGGAGGTGACTCACCCAGCTTCCTCAGGTTCCCCAAGACTCGGACATCCACAAATAAACAGGAAGCAGTCTTGAGACTTCGAAGTCCCAATCCCTTCAACCTGTCATGCCTAACTCCCAACCTTTTTTTTTTTTTTTTAATAAGTGAAAGGTGGGAATGTTGTAAATTGCTGGCCTGGCCTGTCACCTGGGTACCCTATCCCTTTAAGAGGCAAGCCCCACCCACTCCCATTCTCCCCTTTCCTGCTGAGAGGAGGGTATCTCTGCCCCCCCCTTCTTCTGGAGAGGCATCTTCTGCCTCTCTCCCTTCCCCCTTCTCCCCTTCTTTCTTCTCTTTATCCCTCTCTTCTTCTCCCCCCACCCCCAGTAAATAAACTCTATATCCAAGCTCTCTCTGCATGTATCTGTCTCACACCCACCACCATGGAACCTGTAGGGGTGGTGCCTACATGAATGGTAACAGTTGGTGGTCCAAAAGAAAAAGCCTGTGCGCGCAAACTTTCAGAGGAGCTAAGTGCTAGCATGGAGCCCTGGCCATTCAGTTCCAGACCACAGCTTTGAACACTCACTATGGTTCACACCCACTACTTTCAGGCACACGTCTGGGACACAGTCCTTAAAAACCAAGGCAGAGCTAACCAAATTCCATGATAGAAGCAAAGTTCACCGAAGTTCTGGAACCCTGGGTCTAATTTACCAACTTTCCTTCTTAAATTATAGCATTGAGGGCTGGAGAGATGGCTCAGAGGTTAAGAGCATTGCCTGCTCTTCCAAAGGTCCTGAGTTCAATTCCCAGCAACCACATGGTGGCTCACAACCATCTGTAATGAGGTCTGGTGCCCTCTTCTGGCCTGCAGGCACACACACAAACAGAACATTGTATACATAAATAAATAAATATTAAAAAAAGAAAAGATTGGAGAGAGCATAGGAAGAATAAATGAGACATGATAAAAAGACTTATGTGAGCTAATTTATTTTCTTTACCCTCAGATCTCTTAGCCAGCTTTTGCTTGCTGTAGACGTCCTGCTCTGAACCCTGGGAGGGTGCTGAACCTGGTACTCAGT